TTATTTACCCGTGGAGGCAGAATAAGAAATAAGTGGGTCCCTCTCTTGACAGCCACTGAGGTCTTGATTCATTCTGGAACCTCATTTGCTCTAAAAACCTTTCCCAGTTAGTGATTCTGGGTGGAACCAGATCTGAGGGGTTGGACATTCTATTCCTCTCCCCGCTGGTCACAGTTGAAAACTGCATGCACTACTAGCTTCCTTTTTCTTTTCTGTGTCTTTCCAATTCCATTTGATTCAAATGTTTGCTGAGTCCAGCAGAACTCAGGATAATCAATTCTAGGCTAGGCTACAATAGCAAACCCTGAAACCCCAGTGTTTCAGCCCAACAGCCGTCTATCTCTCACCCTGGCCAAGTGTGATGTGAATTGTCAGGGGCTCTGTTTTGATCGGCGATTCAAGGATCTAGGATTCATCCTTCTTAAGCCATCTCATCTTAGCAGAAGGCTTTAAAGTTCTCCAGGTCAGGGGAAGACAAAGTGGGAGAACCTGCTCTTGTCACAGCCTCAAGCCAGAACAGACCGCGTGACCCCAGCTCAGTTATTGCTGTATTGACCATGCTCCCAGCTCAGCTGAGAGACCACGCAGAGAGGAGATGAGGCAGGATTTGTCAGGCGCTTCTGTCTCTGCCACAGGGTTTTGGAAGGAGCATGCACTGGGTGGGATGTATTTGAATCCTATGGTCCCTACTCTGGGGAAGATCACAGTATTTTCATATAGGAGACCACAACCCATGTGGTAATAAACTATCAGCCCAGGTTATTAAGCACAGTAAGAGAAGCAGAAATAAAGGTCCTGGTAATCAGGTGGGGGTAATTAACAAATAGTATGAGCCAAGGAAGAGAGGGTGGAACAAAGGGGATATTTCCAGGAAGATGGGAGGCATGTGCTTAGTTTGGAGGGGGGATAGGAGAGAGTTCACCAAAGGGACATGTCAGGGAAGGAATCCAGGGGAGAGCCAGCACACATCTGTCTCACCTCAAATTCACCTGTGAGCCACTTGGATGTTTCATCACTGATTAAATTTTTCTCTTCCCCTTCCTGAATATAGTGTTGATGACCCAAAAAAGAAATTCATTTCTGAAAGCCTTTCCCTGCTAAGACCCCACTATCAGAAAGTAAACAAACCACAAATCCCTAGTGTATGGCATTTGTCTGGTGTTAGCTTTCAAATGTGCTCAGAGAGCAAACCTCTGTGAGTGTTCATGTGGGGACACCACGGGTGGCTCACCTGTCACTGGATGGCATGAGTTGCGTCTGCAGCCACCTCACCCCAACCCTGACCACTCCCCCTATTCCATGGGGATATGACATGACAAGAAAAATACCCAAGAAGCAGAGGTTGGGAAGCCTATATCTTATCTGGCTGACTCACCCGGAATGCCTGCCTTTTCCTATGTGAACTGAAAGAAGCCAATCAGAGCAGGGATTCTTAGCTACCGCTGCACGTTCGAATTTCTATGGAAGATTGCAAAAATCCCAGTGTTCAGACTGCACCTGGGAGTGGGATCCAGGCATCCAACAAAGCTTCAGGTGATCCAGTGCAGCCCAAGTTGAGATCCTTGGCATTTGATCTGAAAATCCAACAGACTAGCTTAGGAGGGGTGAGCTCCCCATCACTGGATGTGTGTAAGGCAAGGTGGAAGAGCTCTTTGCCAGGATGTATGGGAGGATCCAAAAGTCAGCTGCTGCTCTTCTGGAATTCTCTTCATTATATTCCCCCGTCTTTGTTCCCCAGGGTTCTCCCAAGCTCAACTTAGCCCACTGAGCATAGAGTGCTGAGGTGGCTTAAGGAAAGGCTCCTTATTCAGTATGCCCCAGCCTCAGCATCCAGCATCCCGGAGCTAGCATGGCAGCTCCTGATTGTTAGCTGGTGACTAAGCAGATGACCACATGGGGCTCTCCCAGCACCATCACATTAGACCAGCTATGTTCCTGGCTACCCATATATCTGTGGGGACTGAATCACAAAGGAGAAGGAATATGAATTGGGAATCAATTCTTATGTACCACCTGGAGCCTCTGTCTGTGGTGTACACACCCTGTGAAGTGCTGGGTAAGATGCTGAGAGATGGCACTGAAGTAGGAGCAGACCTCAGGAGAGTGGCAGGGAAGGAGGGGAGTCACCATGAAGTACAGTTAAGAAGGTTTGGAGAGGGAGAAGTGGGCATGAAGTGGACCTTTCAAACCAGGAATTTAAAAACTTCTGTAGAGCTCAGAGCTTGAGTTGCTCTGTGGGGCAGTTATATAAAAATCTGCTCACAATGCAGACATCTGAAAACATCCACCTTCTACAATCAGTTCTTCTACCATTATGGGAAATTTTTGGGAATGCACCATTCTCCACCTGGCCAGAAGTTCCCCAACTTCAGGGTCCTGGGAAAGTTCTCTTATCTGACATTGGGCCAGATGATACCAGATCCCCATCAACCCAACACCAAGCATGACCTGGGAGCTTGGCTTGTCCATCCTCCTGGACAGGGGAGGCCCAGGAGAAATCTCCAAATGACCGTTCACTTCTTCAGCCACTATGGGCCCCTTAACACAGAGACAGTAAGTCAGTGAACCTGCCAGGAGCTCATAGCACAACAAGAAAAGCACAAAAGCACACATACAATACTGCAGCCCCTTGAGACTACTGCCCCAGGAAGAGATTAGTACACAGGTGACAGCAGGTGCCCAGAGGGACACACTTAGTACAGCCCAGAAACCAGGGAAAAAGAACAAAGGAGTCTCAATGTGATTCTTGAGAGGAGGAGTTGCTATAGCATAGTGTCTTGGGGAGCTGTGCCATGCGTGCTGGGAAGGTGGGTACAGTGTGGGGCAAGGTGACACTGGAGTAGAAGGGGGGCTAGTTATTACAGAGATTGTGTTTATGCTATGATACTTGCATTACTCCTGGATCAGGTAGAAGTTTCAGAGAGAAATACTCAGAGGACTACTAGCAGAGGGTACATGGCAGTGGTGGGCTGCCTCCATAGTAACTTCTCATTGGTGCAAGGAAGAAATGACGAGGTCTGCAATCGGCCCACAACCACTCATTCCTGTTCTTTTTCAATTGCATTGTGTTTACAGTTACTAGATTCCAGCAGGGAATTAGATGGAAGGACAAAGGCAGAGAACAGGACAAAGACTCCTTCCATCTGATTCCCTGTTGGAAAATTCAGACTCTAGGGAGTTCTTGGCTTAAGAGAAAATAAAAGGAAGTACAAGAAAGTGGTCTCCAAGTGACAAGATTGTGTAACAACCGTAGTTGTCTAAGTAGTCACCTAGGAGGCTCCCACTGTTGAGTTGAAGGGGTGAGTGTGAATGTGGGGATCCTCAAAGTGCATTTTATTTAACCTAGTATTATGTGGATTATTAGGAATCCTAAACCTCATCTGATTCAAAGATGGCTAGCTTCCTCTAAAAAATTAAGCAAAAAAAAAAAAAAAGGATTTAAGATTAACAGTGGAATGTTTTGGGATCTCCCTTTTCTGAACTGCAGAGAAAAAAACATTTTGAAAAAAAAGGATGGGGGGTAATTTGGACTTCTGAGAAAAGTGTCCCGCCCCATTCACCCCAACACTTTAACTAAAAATACTCTGAATAATACAAAATGGTTTCATCTTTTAGAATACGTAAGTGTTTCTTGAAAAGCACACCTTCACTTCCGGCAAGAATTTCATGGGAGCATTTGATTATAAACTGCGCACATCTCTGGGCTGCACTGTCATCAGAAGCTGCATTGGCCTTTGCTTTGGTTGAGGAACAGATGTTCCTTACAGAGGCAGATGGGAGACTGTGGGATGGAGTCCCATGGAGGTTGTTTGAGGACAGAAAAACGTGGACCACATCTGGTCCAGGGACACGGTGTTCAGGAATCTGTGGTCAAAAAAAGTCTTCCTGCCAGGGTGTGAGCATGGCTTTTGCCGAGATTCAGCCCAGGGTGGATGGAAGCTTTAACGAGAAACAGAGGATGGTGACGGACAGAATGGGTGTTTTCCCACTTCTTGAAAAACTTCTAGATTGTCCTGGAATGTTGGAACCTAGAGGTTGCCTTGGAGTTATGGGGACTGCACCATGTCATTACATCAGTGGGAAACACGAGGACCAGTAAGGAGAAATGACTGGCCCAGAGGCACCCAGACAGTGGGTGACAGAACTGTCGAGTTTCGGACCTCCCTCCTCCCAGCCTGTTGGGTATTTATCATCTGATCCTTTATAGAAAAAGGTTGCCAATCTTCTTTTCAGCTGTGGGCAGGCCTGAGTTCAAGCCAAAGTGGGTGGCTTACCTGTGTGACCTTGGGCAAGCCACCTTTAATCTCTGAGACCCATTTTTTGCATCTGCACTAAGGACACAGTTGTTTTACGATACCATAAAATCATGGGTGTGAAGCACCCAGTTCAGTTGCTTGATCAATGGTGAGTGTCAGCCCCCTGAGAAGGCCACTGGGGATCCATCACTTGATTGGTCCCTGGAGTGACAGGAGGCAGGCTTCTGGGCAGGATAAAATTTTCCCTCTTCCTGGAATAGATGATTCACAAGCTCACATTTCTTTCTTTCTTTTTTTGTTAAATTGGTTCTTTTTAGATATGCGACAATAGAATCTATTTTGACATAATTATACAAGCACGGACTATATCTTGTATAATGACCCTAGTACCCCTCTATTCCCCACCACCACTCCTTTCCCTCTATTGATGGTTCTGCAATCTACCTATTTTTTTAATTAATTTCTTGTGGATGTACATGATGGTGAGGTTCACTGTGGTGTATTCATATATATACACAGGAAAGTTCTGTCGGATTCATTCCACTGTCTTTCCTTTTCCCACCCCACCCCTCCCTTCCCTTCCTTCTCCTTTGTTGACTCCACTGAATTTCTTTTCTCCCCCTCTCTTTATTGTGGGTAGCTTCCACACATCAGAGAAAATATTTGACCTTTGGGCAAACTCACATTTCTTTAACACTCCTTTTTTTTTTCACTTTTTTTTTTTTTTACTTTTGTTTTTCTCAGATACTGGCTGACCAACAAAGTCCACATCAAAAGACCCACCACTGGCCTCTTGATGTATACCCTGGCCACACGTTTCTGCAATCAGATCTACCTCTACGGCTTCTGGCCCTTTCCACTGGATCAGAACCAGAACCCTGTCAAGTACCACTACTATGATAGTCTCAAATATGGCTACACTTCCCAGGCCAGCCCCCACACCATGCCCTTGGAATTCAAGGCCCTCAAGAACCTGCACGAGCAGGGGGCATTGAAACTGACTGTCGGCCGGTGTGACGGGGCCACGTAAGGTGGGCACCCCGTGAGACTCAGTGGCTCACATTTCCTGCCAGCTACACCACAGGCAGATGGGAGTCGGGTGGCACAAACAATAGAACAAGCAGGCTAGTGGTTTCCTTTGTTAAAGTGTAAAACAGTGACCAGAATATATATATCTGTACCTGCATATATATATTGACCTGAGTATTTATAACTGTGTGGTGTTCATCTAGCATTAGGCAGATAAGCCACAGGAAGAAGGTGTGGAGAACCCACCTGAACCAGATTGAAACTCAGTCCATCTTTGGGGGCGGAAAGACTTGACATGCAAAGAAGCCGGTCCCATGACTTTGAATGACAACCTGCCTCCTCAGTTGGGAGGATCTTTGGGCTCGTGGATGAATGGAGAGCCACCTATTGTCAGCTGCCTGGACCTCTGGGATATGTGGATTCTGGGTAGCCGAGACCCAGAGAGGACAGTGTGACCCAGTCTAAAGCCGTGCTGTTCACGGAGGAGCGGTTAGAGAATTTAGCTGGGCAAAGGAGCACAAAGAAGCCAAGCAGAGGCCACAGCAGAGCTGAGGGCCTTACTTCATGAACTTAGAGTTTGATTGCCCATGGGACAAGCCGTGGGTGACATCCATGTCCCCGACAGGCCTCCACAGCTATGGAGAGAAGGCTAAAGGAGACACGATGGACAGTCCATATTCTGGCTAAGCAAGAACCACCAAGAACCTTGGGTGGAGCAGGCAGATGACCCTAAAGAGGTAGAGTGCTCTAAATCATGTTTTGAAAAATTGAGAACTTCTTCCAAGGGCGTGCTCCACCTCAGAAAAAGGAGGAAGAGTGTCCAAAATGTGGTCATTGTGTTGGGTGTTTTTTGAAGCAACTGAGGTCTGCCAAGAAGGACATCATGGGATTTTTACCTTCTAGGTTAGCCTCCATCTCACCCTCTTAGAATGTCACACGAGAGACTGTATGTCCCTTGTGCCACCAGGGGAGACACAACAAAAAATTTGAAAGGGCACTGTCAAGATAAATGTCATCCTTTTTAAAATATATATAATTGCCTTTCTGGGGGCCTCACAGAGCCTCAGAATGTAAGACCTGAAAGAATGTGAAGCCTCCAGCCCTGTGTCTCTGCAGCCACTCTCTTTATTTACTGTCTGCATCCTGCGCTCTGCAGGGCCCCTGCAGCCAGACTGGCTGTATCAATGTCACTTTCTTGCCACTATCGCATCCTGATGGTCATACTCACCCTCACGGAGCTCCTCATGAGGTTTTTGGAGGAGGTTTTCAACTCTGCAGGGAAGGGTTCCAATGTCCACCCCACACCCACCACCTTCCTCTCCCCACAGAGGCAGTGATGGTGGAATTTTGCAAAATCCTTTTCTTTTTTTTCCTCTTGCTAAGATTCTCATTTAAGACTTTTGTTTTTATGAAAACCCAAAGTCAAATGCTGGACATAATCTCCTGGAGAAATCTGGGCTCCATGCCAATAATTGAGGGGCTGGAATCACAGGTCACACGTAGAGAAGCATTAGTCAGCTTGATTTGTTAGATGTATTCCCTCGCCTGATAAATAACAGTGTTTTAAAACATATTTGAAAGATAAGTAAAAAACCATTATCTTGAAGGTGAAGAGAGTTAAGGAAAGTAATCAAGATCTGCTCCCAAGCATATGAGACTGGACATAATTAGTCAATGGCAAAGAATGGCTGATGGGAAAACACATGGAAGTGGGGGAGGATACCCAAACCATTAACCCACACACAGACACTCCAGCCCGAAACCAGGACAGCCCCCATACATCTCTGCTTTTGTCCCCTTTGTTCTTGTTGTTGCTTGAAGCCTGAAGTTTGGGATTTGCATTATAAAATGAATATTTAAGAAGGCAAGCTCTCTAATGGCCTCGGTGGGAACTGAGTGGTTCAACCTCCTCATGAGCAGTGGAAATAATTAGTATCATAATTTACACGTCTCCAGAGCCTTTCGTCTTGAGGTTCTCAAATGCCCTAGAAGAACGTTTAATTTCTAAAGTTTACAGTGCCCCGGGGAGCAGGTAGAATTACCAGCCAAGGCCTTGGGTTAGCCAAGGCCTTAGATTCCAGAATGTTCTATGGTAAGTCTCAAGGTGATCCCAGGTGTCAAGTCCTAGAGTTGGCCATGAGATCTGTCCACCAGGCCAGTGCCCTCTGTCTGCGGGAGAGTTAGAGGGCCAGAGCAGTTTGGAGAACCTCATAGACAGGTTCTTTCCAAAAAAAGACTAGAGGCCCCAGGACCATCCACACATGTACCGCTCCCTAATAGAGCTAGTCTTGTGCTGCCAAAATGCTTTGGCTGTGTGGTGGCAGGAACTCCAGGGGATGTCGCTTTCCCTCTCTCCTCATCTTTTTCCACCTGGGCAAGCACAGCCAGGAGGCTGGCTGTCCTTCCTGCCTATTTAAAGCTCACTTGGAGCCAAGGTTCCTCTGCAGTCTCTGGCATAGACTGGCTCACCTTGTGTGGACCCAGGGAGTCACAGTCTGTACCCCTTACCATGATCTGCTGCCTCGTCGCTACAGCCAGGCTTTCCATCATCCTCAGCTGGCTCAGTCACACCTCTAGTCGCCCACCGTCACCCACCTGAGGCCCTTCAAACCTTTTCCATTGGCCTCAAGCCCCACACTCAACCTCCTCCTTTACTGGAGAGATGGAGCCCTCTGAAATGAGATCTGTCCTCAAAATCTCTTGGGCTCTTCCCTCATCCTTCACCTTCTTCCTCCCATTTCTGAGGAAGGTTCCTCCTCTGGCCAGATGTGTTTTCTCTCACCCGCTCCGGCCCTCTCTGCCATCTCTGTCCCCTGTATGTACCAGCATGGGATCATTGCACACATCCTGGCTCCTGTAGCCTGTTCACTCACCTCCCTCCACCACCTGACCTGGGCAGGGCCTCCAGCACCCACTGCTGCCCTTCCTCCTGACAGTGTGCCTCACCTTCCACATCTAGCCCACTCTGAGGCCAATGTCTCAGCACCCTCCATGTTGCCAACTTGAAAGGTCACTTTTCACCAAAAAAAAAAATCTAGAGTGACCCCTCCAGGATAGTGCCTGGCATCAAAATGACGAGGATGCAGATGCCATGTTCTGGTAGCTTTTCCCCTCACTTCCCAACCCCTCCTGACCATTTATTTATGTATTTATTTATATATTTATGAGTTATTTATTGATACTCCTACGTTGATCTAAAAAAAAAAGCAATCAAGGAGGATCTGACCATTCTTCTCCTTGCGCCACAGTGTAGACATTCCTTGTACTGATAGCCTCCCCTCAGGTCCCCTAAACCCTCCATCAGCAGCCTCACACCTTCCTTTAGATCCAGCCATCACCCCTCTCCAGGCGCCTTGCCCTCCACTCCCCTCCACAGCCCAGCCCCTCTCCCAGCTCCAGGCTTACCATATGCGAAGCTTGTTGACACCTCCTGTCTGCTCTGGAAGCAGCGCGATTGACTCAGCATGTTCTGAAGTAAGGGAGTCATCCCTGTCTCCCCTTCCTCCATGATCCCTCCTTTTTCTGTTGGAAGACCCACGTCTCCTTCAACCATGCAGCCTGAGACCCTAAATCATCTTTGACTCCTCTTCCACGTATACCCTTCTTACTCCTTCTCACTAGCATCAACTTCACCTCTTTAACTGTCCTTTGGATCTTCCAGCCCCTCCTCTCCCACATTTCCCTGTGCATGCTTCCATGTTCTCCAGTCCCTCCTGAGCATGCCCAGTGATCTGCACCTCCACAGCTCTTCAAGAAACCTAAGTTCTCCTGGCCCACAATCAAACGTGCAAGTCTTTGTCCTGATATTACCGACCACTCGATAAGGTTCCATTCTTCCTTTACACCCTGCATCAGCCAATCCAGAAAAGATGTTGTTCCTCGAAGGGACACCTGCCTTTCCTGTCTCTGTGCCTTTGGTCTTGCAGCTCTCATCCCCTGGACCGCTCTTGAGTTTCTACCGAGGCCCACGCAGAGACCACATCTTTCATGAAGCCCCTGATCCACCAACCGCTGGGATCTCTCCCTCCGCTGAACCACCATAGCACTTTATTTGTACCTTTCTCATGGCACTTACCATATTCTGCCTTGTATTATAGTTATTTGTGCACTTGTCCTATGACTGTTCTTAGACTGTAAGCTCGCCAAGGGCAGGGACTGTTTTATTCATCAGTACTCCATCACAGCACCAGGTGTGGTGCCTAGCACACAGCAGTTGCTCAATAAATGTTTGTTGGATTAAATCCTGAATGTCTGTAGAGGCCTTTATAATTAATGAAGTTATTTTACTGCCATAAGAACTCCAAAAGAATGATACAATTCAGGCCAAAGCAGAGATAATTATCCCAATTATGTAGATCATCAAATTAAAGTAAAAACCTGCTAAGGACTCCTGCCTCACCGGCAGAATTCTCATCCAGGTTTCCTTACCCTCACTCCAGGGATTTTTCTGTTAAACCTTGTGGTTGAGTCATTGCAAACTGAAAACTGACCTTCAATATAGGCCAGGCTGCCCATAGGTGTCTCCTTCTCAGGTTGAGGGCAAACCTCAGCGTGAACCCCAACCCCTGTGCCCATCAGTACAACAGAATCTACTCCTTTCTGAGAAGGATGAAAGTTATTTGGGTTTTCTCAGGCCTGGGGGGTGAAGCTGTAGGACCTCATCAATCATTCCTCCTGCCACGGTCACAGAGTAGGAAACCATTTGTCCAGATGGCAGCGAGACCAAGAGCTCTGAGGGGCTGCTGTTTGATAAATCTCTCCATGCCTAATTAAGGCGCCCCTTCCAGAATGAATGGAACAGGGTAGTTTATTGATGCCGGTCAGATGGGACTCCAGACGTGCCTGCTGCTTCATGAATGCCCTTAATAGCATTCCCAATGACACCAACAGCCTGCACCGCCCGCTGTCTCTCCCGGCAATGCTGATGTCATCTCTTCCCACCTTCACTCCCATTCTGTCCCCTCCCTTCCCCAAAGCGCTCTCCTTGGCAGGGGGAACCCAGACAGCCAAGTTGCAGGCTTTCTTCCTGCCACCTGAGCCCTGACCTGGAACAATGCTGTGAAATGCCAACAAGGAAACAAGAGGGGGTTGGGGAAAGCGGGCACTTGATGCCATCCCTCAGGGAAGCAAAAAACAAACGGGCTTCTGTTCTGGTGGTGGCCTATCCACAACAATGGGAGGTTTCCATGGTTACTGTCTAGAAGCAATGTTATAGTTGCCTTTTGGGCTTTGTGATGAGGGTAGTTTAATTTCCATTCTTAGCAGTCCAGGTGGTGGGGCAGTTTCCATGTGTCGTGCATTGAGCCATCCAGTCCTCAATCAGAGTTTGCCTAGAATCACCCCAGTTGTCACTAGCCAAAGCCCAATAGAGTCACCCAACCAGGATACTAAAGGGCTCTGGTGGCCTTTCTACATCTTCCTTACCACTTTCTCAGCCACCCCAACTTCCCCTAGAAACTGGCATGGGAAATGGGGCTCCATAGAGGTTCCAAGAACTGTGTCATGAAAGACCCCACTGCCCCAGCCAGGAGAACATTTTCAAGTATGAAATTTGAAGAAGGTTCTTCAAAACTGTCCTAGAACCACATAGGAACAGCCAATCCTTGGGGAATTAAAAGAAAATTTGACAGCCCAAAAGTGACAAAATTGTGCCACGAACCTTAGCACATTGGGCCCCCTGACATGAAGAAGGGTGCAGACTCGTTTGCATCATATTCAGGTGAGTCAAGTTGGGACAGATGCAGGAACACCCTTCAGTGAAGTTTAATGTTCCTCCATTCACTAAAAAGAGATGGTAAAGATAGGGCCTTTGGACAGAGTTGGTGAAGGGACCATCTGAATCATTAACCCTTATTGATGGAGGTTGGATATTGCAGGGCGGCCACTCTGAGGCAAGCTCATTGGCTCTAGGAAAGACAGGATTGTGCTTTCTTGTTCCAGTGGCCAAGGTCTGCAGGAATATAACTTGCTGTAACAACTACAGGATAAGCACCACATTCTGCACAAGAGCTCCGGGACAGTACCAGATAACCCAGAAGCCTGTCATTCCAAGTGCCCAGGGGACATGGATAAGGCCCCTTGATTCTGATATTTTCTCATCTATAAAATGGGGAAGACACCCACCTGCCTCCTTCAGGGAGCAAGTGAAAATGCAAATCAAAAATGGGTTGGAGAATTGGGGTGGGGAGGTGTGGAGAGGCTCAGGGCTATGGAACAAATGAAATGTGTGCAGCTATGAGTTTTCAGACTTGTGCTTATCCAACATCGATCATGTCATTGCCCTGGTTAAACCTGTTAATAGCTTTCCTTCACCCTAGGAAGAAAATTGCAAGTACCGTAATGTTGCTTAAAAGGTCTTGGGCTCTCCTCACCTCTGACTCACTGTATTCCAAGCACATAGACCTTTCTGTTTTATTAAGAACTTTCCAGAATTATTCTGGTGTCAGCGCCCTTGAACTTGTTTTCCCCTCTGTTGCTTGCATGCTGCTTCCTCCTTCTTAGAAGCCTCAAATTGAATGTCACCTCCTGGAGAGTCTTCTGGTCTCCCTCAGCTAGTCACTTTCTAATGCATGTCACCTTATCCTGGTAAGTGGTCTTCATAAACTACTGTATCCCCCAACTCACACACACACACACACACACACACACACACACACACACACATAGCTTGTGTATAAGAACACACACCAAGACCCTCAATGAATGTCTGAATTCACAAATAGTACCGGCCTCATATACACTATTTTTTCTTATACCTACATACCTATGATAAAATTCAATGTGTAAATGAAGTGTAGTAGGAGATTAACAACAATTAAAAATAAAATAGAACAATTGCAAAAATAGACTTTAATTGTTTCCTTGTTTATTTTCCTCTGCCCTTCTAGAATGCTCCAGAGGAGGTTGTTTTCTGGAAGGGTCTCTGTGCCCTGGGTGGTGGAAGTTGCCAGCCTGCAGCATAACTGCTGATGTCTCTACCTGGGTGCTGGCAACATGACCACTTCCTGGCACTCTCCGGTGGCACTAAACTTCTCACAGGTGACATATTTTCCTCTGAAGCCCCAGGTAGATGGATGGTGCTTTCAGCCCTTGGAGCCAAGCTGATGGGTAGAGTTTTTCCAGTTCCCAGTTTCCCCCTTCAAAGAAGTTGATGGCTCTTGCCTTTCCATTCCCACCTGAGCAGACATTAGAACCCCACCTACCCCACCACAAAGACCTTTACCAGATCATTGTACATTGGAAGTGTTTTAGTCAGCTTTTTTGCTACTGTAACTAAAGGACCCAACCAGCAAAATTATAGAGGAGGAACAGTTTATTTGAGGGCTCACAGTTTCAGAGGTGTAGTCCATAGAAAGCCGGCTCCATTCCTCAGAGCTTGAGGTGAGGCTGAGCTTCACGGCGGGAGAGGGTGGCGAAGGGAGGCAGCTCACATCATGGTGACCAGGAAGCAGAGAGAGAGTCCATTCTCCAGATGCTAATATGTATACCAAAGCCATGCCTAATCCCCACCTCCTCCAGCCACACCCCTCCACTTCAGTTACTACTCATTCAATCCATATCAGAGGATTAATTCACTGATTGGTTAAAACTCTTACAATCCAATCATTTCTCCTCTATACCTTCTCCCACTGTTTCACATGTGAACTTTAGGGGCACAACTCACATCCAAACCATAACAGGAAGCCTCACGAGAATTTTAAAACCCACTGAAACCTGGGCCTAGGAATTCAGATATGATTGGTCTGCTGTGCAGCGTGGGCACCTCCCGCAGTTCCCACAAGGCACTCAGGGGCAGCCCTTGCTGGAAAACACGACCCACACCCACTTCCTGAAGCCCAGCAAGGTCTTCCACAGGCAGCCCCTCCAGGGCCTCTGGTGTGAGGTCTTTTGTTTCTGGCTTCTGAAGTTTTCCTTCCTTGATTTGAAACTTGGCCTGTTTTATCTGATGGGTTTTGCTGCTGCTGCTCTTCTGGATGGCTGTGTGCTGGCTAAGCAGGAAAGACCTGTCCAAAACTTGGCTACTTCTCCTTCCAAACTTTGTGAGGGGCCATGAGGAGCATGTCCACTAAAACTTCTTCAGCCACTAGAACTGTACCTGGCACACGGTGGGCAATTAATGGACTCCTGTTGCGTGAACAAAGGGATGAGGGTGAACTCTATGGATGTATGAGTACCTTGAAGGAAGACTTGTACCCCATGGACCTGCAGAGTGGGGAGGAGCCCATCTTGTGGGAAGAACACCAGGACCTTGTCAAGAGGACCAGGAATTGCTCCCATTTTCTCATCTAAGCCACGTGTTCTGGACCCTGCATGAGACGCTCTAAATAACGCTTATCCTTCACCATAGCCCTGCATGTTGTCTTGCCCCCTTTACACAAATTAGATAAAGGTTCTCAGATATTAAAAACTTGTTCAAGATGCCAAAGCTCATGAGTGGATGGTTTAACGCCAAAACTAACACTATTAACCCTGCAAGCCTCTAAAGGCCACTTATCAACCCTCAGCCATCTGGTCATTGTGTGAGCCCACACAGGGGAGGAAAGAGGACGAGACTCACCTGCCTACTGGCCAGACTTCTCACAGGCTAAGCTCTGCTTTGGCTCTTCCCATTGGCAGAACCGATGTAGACCCAGAACGTACCTGAGGAACAATGTCCATGGATAAGATGTTCCCTTGTCAGTTTGTCAAGAGCTGCATCTCTGAGGCCCCTGAGGGCCCTTGTTCCAGCCCTATAGTCACAGTCCATTCTGATGGCCAGGACCCCTCTGGGTTGTTAAATTCTTTTCAAGGCTTAACCCCTGCTCCCAGGCCCTCTAGGCATAAAGCAAGGGAGACCAAGGGCTGTCCTGGTGTTTGGACCACAAGGCAGAACACCAAAACCTCATGTCATGGGTGTTTTGTGGCAGCCATGTCTGAAGAAATGACTGGTTTTTTCTTTCTTGTTTTCCATGGACACATCCTTGACTCAAAACAGATGTTCTGGGTAGCTCATGAGAGTTCAGATTGCAAATTCAATTGTGAAAATGTGGGAGGCATGAAAAGGAAAGGCATCTTCTGACAGTGTGTCAAGACAGACAACCGGTAAATGTTGGCCTTGGATCATAGTTGAGGCACACACTGAAGGGCCGGCCGGAGGGCAACCAGGAGCCAAAGGGATGCTAGAGGACCAGAAGGGAGCAGGTCCTGTTTACTGAGCACTGATTAAATGCCTCTCAGGAACTCACTCACTTACTCTTGAGCC